TATATATATGATTATTAAAATATTCGTAGTACTTGATAATCGGGTTTAATTGTTTATTGTTATAGAAAGAATAAACAAAAAAACATTTTTTTTTTCACAATTGCAATTAATTGAGTGACCTTGTGGATAATCAACTCAGCATTATTGCATCTTAAAGTTAACTTTGGTTAGACACTACAACAATTAATTAAAAAAAAATGAGCTAAAATTAGCAATGCACTTGATTAGGAAAAATGCAAGATCGTATCAAAAAGATCAAAAGTCTGAGTTCTCCTAAATATATTTGAAATTCATTCGAGGTGAATTAAATTAAAAATTCATTTCTTAATTATTATGGTATGAGAGATCAACGTACTTATTTATATTTTTAATTTGCTCGATATTAAGCTCTAATATTATATCATTTATGTTCAAAATATTTTATCAAACAAACGTACAAAAAGATAAAATTTTGAATTTGAATTAGGATAAGATTTACTTCTTTATTACATTGTTTCAACTTTTGAATAGTTGAAATCTATGGAGTGCAAAATATTAGTAAAACAGTAGAAATTTTAAAATAGAGACTTCGGTAGTTACCATTTTAAGTTACACTTTCAAGATCTACTTATGTTTTGATGGCCCTCATCTAGAAATTTATGAAGGGAATGTTGGTGGAGAACAATTACTTCTATTTTGAGGCGGAATCAGATACACATTTATAAAATATAAATTTTTATAATATCTTGATATATATTTTTACATATTTTTGAATCTCTTGATAAAAATTCGAATTCTATCACCATTAAATGCCAAATGCACTACCAATTTTAAACTACACTTCCTATTCCATATCACGTGACAAAAGTTTCATTAGTTTCGTTCTCGTGACTCAAATACATGTTATACCCTCCTCAGAGTTTTTTTTTTAAAAAAAAAATAAAAGTAAGCATTTTTAGAGTTAATCTTTTAATATTATACTAAATTTAGACATAAAATTGTTAAATTGAAATAAAATTTATATATGTAGAAATTACATAACAAATATCACAAGTCATATACTTTTTCCGTCCCATTTTGTGTGACACTTTTCACATTTTGAGATTACATAACAAATATCACAAGTCATATATTTTTTCCGTCCCATTTTGTGTGACACTTTTCGCATTTTGAGATTCAAACAAGTTTATCTTTTACCGTAATTTTTTCATACATTCTTTTGAAAATTACGTAGGAAAATTTCCTATTAAAGTTAAACTGTTTGACTTTCAGAAAACGAAAAATAAAAATACCACATAAAATGGAACAAAGAGGAGTAATTAACAATTTAAAGTAAATAAAAGTCGTATAAATCTTATCGATTATTTTAAATAAAATAAGACCGAAAACCAGTTAATTACTACAAATCAGGTCCCTATTGGCCAATTCCCACCATTAAGATGATCAAAAGAAAATGATCGGACAGGGATGCACATCAGGAACTTGAAAAGCCAAAAAAAAAAAACAGGATTAATAATCAACAAAAAATTAATTGTTTGATTCTCAAAATTAGAAGATCATATTTTGGAGCTGCTTATCCCTTGCTGTTTCTGAAGAATATAATAAAAAAAGGTTCAAAGCAATGTTTAATATACATAGGTTTGATTTTTATTTTTTTCAAAGATAGATCAGTTTTTCAGGAGATCTTTTGCATTCACAATTTTTTTTTTCAAAAAAAAAAGTTAAATGCATGTTCAAACACAATTTAACTAATATTCAACCATTTACCTTTGCAATTTAATTTTAAAAATACCACATTTTCTAAAGTCCAAAAATTACAAAAAAAATTCCAGAAGTCTTGATTTTCATTTAATTATAGATTTTGAAGTTGAAATTTGAAATTTAAGTCTTTGAAATTACGATATTTGAAACTTGAAGTTGTTTGAATGAACAAGTATTTTATTTGGAAAAAAAAACAAAAAGAATTAAGCCGAAAGTGAAATCTCTATAAAAAATTTGAAGATGGATTGTCAAAATCTATGATCAAACACATATTTTGACGATAATTTTTTTTTAAAATTTAGATCAAAAACTAGTTTATGTATAGTCTCAGAAAAATTAAACTATGACATATTTAAAGTTTTTTTAAAAAAAAAACTGTTTTGCACCCTGGCCTAGGAGAAAAGAGAATAATAAGAATATAAAGTTATAGTAATATAGTACTGAATATTCAGATAAAAGAAACAAATATTCTCTACCAATCTCTGTCCATGAAAAGGAAAACTCATTTTTTTTTGAAGGGATGAGAGAATATAGACAGTGAAATTAACAGTTAACATATAAAAGCCATGCTAACGGCGCCAAATATAAAGTACAAAACAATACGTTTTCTTGTTTTACCATATGAAAACATGTCATATATTTAATTTTAATTACTAATATCATAGTTTCTCAAATCTCAAACAGATCGATACTAATAAAAGAAAGGGACTTTAATTTTTACATGTTACTGGTAACCCTAACAAGTAACATGGCAACTAGATCCGTGGGTTGCTCAGATGGTAAGTATAAGTAAAATAAGATTTTCATTAATTACTAGGTTTAATGAAATAACAAGATACTCAAGATGAATTATGTTTTTGCTCTCAATCTAACAATAATCCAAAATTAATAAGAATAACAAAAGAAATTTTTGGAAACAAAAAAAAGGAATACTAATAAATTGCTTAATTAAAATTAAAGAGTTGAAGGAACACACATATGTTATCAATCGGACCATGATGCTTGATTCCCCATAAATAGGAAGATCTATTTTGGAGAAGATTTAAGAGTACTTGATTAGGGTTTTCCACAACTAGGAAAGTAGTAGTACTCTTGTTTCAACTTCAACTACATCTTCATCTTCGTCTTCGTCTTGGTCTTGGTCTTGTAATGTTGTTGATGATATGAAATGATCATGGTGATGAGGTTGGTGAATGATAAAGAAAGAGTAGCAATGATGGTGGGGAAGAGTCAGAAGAGAGAGCAAGCTGGAATAATAAGACATTATGATTGCTCTTTATGTTGTTGCCTGCCTTTCTAAGCATGATGAAGAGAATTCCAATGCATTATTAATAATATATACTCCCTTCTCTTTCAAACCTACTCCCTTCGCTTCAATTTATATGACATATAACTTAAATTCTTAATATTTGGGGTAGTCATGAAAATATATACATAACAATAATAAGGTATATATATACTCTATTTTATGAGATTTCACTTCTATGATCTTATTGTGATTTTAATAATAAGCCATAGTATTTGTGTGGCCATAAAAGAAATAGTTCGAAATATATTCGAACTTTGATGGAAATTGCTGTAACAATATGAAATTTTGGACAGGGACTTATTACCCCCTGCATTATTTAAGTAGTGTATTTTAAAGATATATAGATGCACATGTGAAAATCATAAATATTGCATCATGATAATAGTAACTTGATCAGCTAAACA